ACCATCTGTAATGGGGTCTGGTGCCCTCTTCTGGCCTGCAGACATACACACAGACAGAATATTGTATACATAAAAAATAAATAAATAATTTTTTAAAATTTATTTATTCATTTATTTATAAAAAAATTTTCACTTCCTCCCCCCTCCCAATATTCTCCCATTCCCCCCACTCCCTCTCCAGTCCCAAGAGCAGTCAGGGCCTCCTGCCCCGCTGGAAGTCCAAGTTTCTCCCCCCTCCCTCCAGGTCCAGGAAGGTGAGCATCCAAACAGACCAGGATCCCAGAAAGCCAGCACATGCAGACAAAACAAGACCCAGCGCCATTGTCAATGGCCTCCCAGTCAGCCCTCATGTCAGCCACATTCAGAGATTCCAGCCCGATCACACACTCGTTCAGTGCCAGTCCAGCTGGCCCTGGTGAGCTTCCACCAGACCAGTCCCTTTGTATCAGTGGGTGAACGCACCCCTCGTGGTCCTGACTTCCTTTTTCATGTTCTCCCTCCTTCCGCTCCTCATTTGGACCTTGGGGGCTCAGTCCAATATAAATATATTTTTAAAAAAGAATGACTGTGACAGATAATTATTGCATAATGAAAAGTATCTTTAAGACTAATAAAGGCAGCATGAGAGAGAATTTTGTTAACTTGTATTTGTCCTCACATCTTTATAACTTGCAGATATATACCTTAATAACTTGTATTTGTATTTTACTGAAATTTGTTTGGTGAGGTTGTCCTTTTAAACTGACAACACCTCTCAGCTGTCCAACTGCATCAGAGATCTTAGAGAAGGATTAAATTTTACTTGAGTTATTGATTAAAAAACAACAGAGAACTTACTTGGTTAGCACATAGAGCCCCTCCTCAGGGTCCTCCACGGTCATATTTTTCTTTTACTGTTTAACACAAGGCCTACCAGGCTTCAGAAGATTCTATGGGCTAAGAAATCTGTAGGAAGACAAGTCTACCTTGACCTGAGCAGCTAGGCTGTCAATTCCAGTGATTCTGTCCACTGTCTGGAGATGTTCAGTTTAGATAAAAGGCAGTTTTGCCCAGTGGGCAGTTTTGGCAGTTGAAGCAAATTGCGGATGGACGTTGTTTTGTGTCCATTTGTCTTCTGTCTTCTTTGGAGGAAATAGTGCTGCTGCTAGGAGCCAACCTGTCTCTTTTTGTTATGAAAAGTATTTTTTAAATAATTAAGCATTTAAATGCCATATTCCCCAGATCTCTGAGCAGTTGAGGGCTGTTACCAGGTATAGATGAGTTATAACTACAGTACAGAATCTCCCTGGAGAGCTGAGTCTGAGCTCGACTGTACTGGCTCTCAACAGGTCAAGCAGGGTTGGATTAAGAGACTTAAAAGTACATACCAATTTAAGACATGAGACTTATTGCTTTGTAGTCTGGAATGAGATACAAGGGACAGATAATTATAACATTTAACAGTAAACATAGGTGCATTTAAGTTTTATGTATGTATACACACAGTGAAAAGGAATTGGGCAAAATGGATGCTCTTGGTGGGCCCTACCAAAGACATGCCACTGCGCAAAACACACATGTAACAGAGTCAGCACCAGGGAACAAGGCAGGGAATACCTCAGTAAAGATGGTGGGACTTGGTCACTTAATCTGGCTCTCAGTTAAAATGGCGGTGAAGTCACCTGACCTCAGTCAAAATTGTGGCGGTCACATGTTGTATGGAGAAGCCACTTTTTTGAGCTGAGTTTTACCTAGAGGTGTGATTCGCTCTGTTGGCGAGCAGCCATGCCACAAGCCACGGTGGGGAGCAGAGGCTGGAACTGAAAACAGCTGCCTCATGGAGTCAACCAGTCTTGTTGGTAGCAGAGGCAGGGACAGTTTGAGGAAAAGTGGAGCCAGTGGGACGCCAGCGAGCATAGTTTGAAGGTTTATACCATAGTTGAAAACATGAAAACCTGCGGAAACACCACAGGGCCTATAGAAGAGCGTCCTCTCTCTACGGGTGGGGTGTTAAAGCCTGACTGGCTCCAGTCTGGGAGACTTGGAAGCCAGAGAGGCTTAGAGGCTGCCCCGCGTGGTCTCTCACAGCAGGGACCACTTACAGCTGGTCCAAAAGGAAAGAAAAAAAGAAAGGGGAAAGAAAAATTAGGGGGACCCTAGGCCCCAAACTGAATGCACCACACAGTGTGTGCAGTGCTAGCATGGGAGGACCAACCCTGGGTTGTCTGGTCATGTTTTCAGCTATGGGAAGCAACCAGAGATGAATGTTAGTGAAGGGCTCTATTGTTCTTTTTAAAAATAATATGATGTTGGGATGGCCCGGGTGGCCTGCAAGCCAGGCAGAAGCTGCCGCCAGAGCAGTACAGGGTCCCCGGGCGAGCAGCAGAGTCAGGCGGCTGGATGCGGTGGACGGCAGAGTAAATGGACATAAGGCTATACATAAAGCTAGACATTTATTACTTAAAGAAAGGGAGACATAGACAAGCACAGAGAGAACAAAGACACACGTACACACGACACGAAACACACACACACACGAGAGAGAGAGAGAGAGAGAGAGAGAGAGAGAGAGAAGAGAAGATGGCGGGGGGGAGGGGGGGTCAGAAGTGACTGGGGTGGGCGTGGTTAGTTCTTAAAGTGACAGCAGAAGAATAACAGGCTCAACTGTAGCTGTCAAGGCTGTGGTTGGGAGCTGGAAGGGGAAAACTCACCACCAAAGCCACTGGTGTGCATGGAGGTCGGCATTCAGGCAGATAGAACGCAGAGCTGTTATGAAGAAACCTGGTTCCTGAGCCAGCCCGCCCATGGCAGGAGGGAATGTGGAGATCCTGGCCGAGTCACAGGCACCAGTATTATGATCATTGTAACCTTCATTTTCAGTGACATTAGGGAAGAGTGCTGCCATGCTGAGTGGGGTCAGGAAAGATGAAACCAGTGCAAATTAATACCAAATTTCTCCCTGAAAAAAGGCTTGTGTGTTTACATTTACCAAGAGCCAAGGTAAAGAGGGAGAGGTGACCACTGTGCTATTATTTATTCAATATTTTTATTATTATTATAGTATAACAATAAATCACCCAAATAAAACACCTGAAGTAGGTATTGCAGTTCTTGCCTTGAACCCCAATTTGGGATGTAGAGACAAGAAGATCATGAACTCAAGGTCATCTTAAGCAATATAGTGAATATAAGGTTAACCTGGGCTACACACCACATCTGCCTGCACCCTGTCATGCTTCCCACCATGATGATGATGGATAAACCTCTGAAACTGTAAGCGAGCCACCCCAATTAAATGTTTTCCTTATAAGAGTTGCCATGGTCATGGTGTCTCTTCACAGTCATAGAAACCCAACTAAGACAGGCAGAAAGTCCAGGTCTTTAGCTGAGCCTCTTTTGCCTCCCAAGACCCACTTGTGACCCCTTTTCAACACATACACACACACACACACACACACACACACACACACACACACACACATTCCTCCAGGTTTGTACGACCTGTTTGAACCTTCTTGTTGATTCTGATTCTGAAACGGTAGAGCTATCTGAAGTACCTCTGTGTCCTGCGGGATACCTGGGCTGCACTAGACTAAGCAAACATCTGTGCTTTTATCGCCCTGCCTGGCCCCTCTTTCCTGCCTTCCAGCGGCACCGCCCTCAGGGAATGACCTGACCCTCACTGTGTGTCTGTCAATCAGCACCCGTAAAAAAAATGCAGATTGAGTCCCTTCCTCTGAGCTTTCTCTGTGCGTGTCTGGGGGTGCCTGGAGCTGACTGGGACATAACCAGTCGGCAGCTTTGGGCCTGGGTGTGTGTGTCTGGGTTCCTGGTGCTTTCTTGACTCTGGTTTTGTCACTGTACAACCCCAATGTCCCCACCCTGTCTTTGGTTTCTTTATCTGTGCAAAGTGAGAGATGGTTTAAATCAGTGCTTTGCAACTTTTGTCTTGTTTTGTTTGAGACGGGGTTTGTCTGAGTAGCCTTGGCTGTCCTAAAACTAACTCTATAGACTAGGCTGGCCTCGAACTCACAGAGATCTGCCTGCCTCTGCTTCCCAAGTGCTGGGATTAAAGGCATGCGCCACCACCGTCCAGTGCTTTGCAACGTTTTAAAAAATATAGTGGCTTTTTCTCAAAGGACACCTAAAGGAGCTTTGGCATTTGGGGAATCAACTTAGGATATGTGTGACATTACCGGCTTCTACCCTGCTTTTGCTACAGGGTAGGTGACTTAGTTGTCTCTTATTTCACTGAAACACCATAACCAAAAGCAACTTGGAGAGGAAAGGGCATATTTCATTTACACTTCTATGTTGCTGTTCATCACTGAAGGAAGTCAGGACAGGAACTCAAACAGGGCAGGATCCTGGAGGCAGGAGCTGATACTGAGGCCGTAGAAGAGAGCTGCTTACTGCTTGCTCCCCGTGGCTTGCTCAGCTTGCTTTCTTATAGAACCCAGGACCATCAGCCCAGGGATGGCACCACACGGGATGGCATCACTCACAATGGGCTGGGCCCTTCCCAAATGATCAGCAATTACGAAAATGTTCTATAGACTTTCCTGTCTACTGCTGATAGATATTATGAGTCATTTTCTCAATTAAGTGCAGGTTATGACAAGTTAACAGAAAACTAACTGGCACAGTAAATGAGAACCACTGGAGTGTCAGCAGGAACAAACCCTTCTCGCAGGTCCTTCATGAACTCTTGGCAACACTGAGGAAGACACCACTCCAACGGCTTCTCTTGGATGCTCTTGAGGCAGACAGGATAGCCAAAGAGTGTTCCTGAGACCCCCAAGAGGGGCTAGCACAGTCCCAGAGCTGACTTAGGTCAGGGCATCCTCCATCCATGGGTGGGGGTATAAGAAAAGCTTGGGGCTTAGCGATGGCTCCTTTACATAAGGAAGTCCAGCCCTCATCCTGAATCCTGGGCTGTGAGCCAAGCTCTGCTCTGGCTGCAAATAGACAAAGTTAACCAAAAAGTCACAGTACAAAGGCCATCCAGGACATCAGGCACTGTGTCCAGGGGACCTCCTCCTCTTAGACAGCCTCGAAGCTCCAGTAAGTAGCTAGGGTCTCCGTGTCTCCTCTACACCCAGCTGCCCCGCTATGCTGGTCCTTGACTCTCCTACCTGGTTTCTGAGGTTCAGTGTGTGAGGGCCAGATCCATAGACACCATGATCTCTGATGGATGGTAGCCCTTCCCTGTAGACACTAGACTAGCAAGGTAAGATCTGTAGAAGTATGGATGATGGGGGAGGGCCAGGCCTGGGCCAGCCCTTGGGGGCTGGATTTGGCTACAGATTCTCCACTCAGCAGTATAACCATTTCTACCTCCAGAGTCCAAGGGTCCGTGTCTCAAGCAGTTTGAGCTGTGCTAGGCACGACAGAAGGACACCTGCTGGGTGGGTAGCATGGGTTTTGAGGAGCTCCTGGACAAGGTGGGTGGCTTTGGCCCCTTCCAGCTGCGGAATCTGGTGCTAATGGCCCTGCCCCGGGTGCTGCTGCCCATGCATTTCCTCCTGCCCGTCTTCATGGCCGCTGTGCCTGCCCACCACTGTGCCTTGCCTGGTGCCCCTGCCAACCTCACTCACCAGGACTTGTGGCTGGAGGCCCATCTACCCCGGGAAACTGACGGCAGCTTTAGCTCCTGCCTCCGCTTTGCCCATCCCAAGGCTCTCCCCAATACCACCTTGGCGACAGAGGCACACAGCTCTGGGGAGCCTGAGGGAGAACCTACCACAGTACCCTGCTCTCAGGGCTGGGAGTACGACCACTCAGAATTCTCCTCCACCATTGTAACTGAGGTACCTGAGTCCAGAGGGTGCGGGATGTTTTAGTGCCTGTCACTACCTTGGGGGTTGTTGTGTGGGTGTGAAATAACCTTCCTCTGCTCTGAGAGTTCTTGCTTGCCTGTGTGCAGAGTCTATGGATGGAAAGCCCTGAGTTGAGTTCTGGGTTTGGACTGAGAAATTCATCTGTTATATTCACTGGGAGCTGATGAAGGCAGGGGAGGGCTAAGGCGGCTCCAGGCTGTTGGAACAGGAAGTCGAGGACGATGTCCTTGCAGTAAGAGATGGAAAAACTACAGAGGCCTCCATTTCTCCCCCTCTCCCTCATTTCCAGGCCCAGGTCTGAGATTTACATGATTCATCCAGAAAGGAAGGGTGGGTGGAGATAGAGTCTCCTGTGGTCGGGAGTGGGGGAGGGAGAGGACAGCAGGACTCCTAGGCAGTGGTGATAGTCCAGGCAGAGGCAAAGCCTTCCCTTTCTGATGGCCGTGGTGTACGGATACTTGTCTGATGTTGCTAGCCAGGGATGGGGTATCTTCTGGAATGTCAGAGTTGCCCTGGAGCCTGGAGAGGAGAGACTGGTGCTGGCTGGAGAGGGACTCACCCACATGAAAGGCCCCTTCCTCGTTTGTCTGCAGTGGGACCTGGTGTGCGAGCAGAGAGGGCTAAACAAGATTACATCCACCTGCTTCTTCATCGGGGTGCTGCTGGGGGCCGTGGTGTACGGATACTTGTCTGACAGGTTAGAAAGGCACAAGATAAACAAGGGACCAGGCTGAGGGGCTCTCTCCCAATGGGATCTGACCTTGCACGGCCCTTTGCAGGTTTGGCCGGCGCCAGCTTTTGCTGGTGGCTTACGTGAGCTCCCTGGTGCTGGGCCTGGCATCTGCGGCCTCAGTCAACTACATCATGTTTGTCGTCACCCGAACCCTCACTGGCTCAGCCCTGGCTGGTTTCACCATCATTGTGTTGCCACTGGGTGAGGTGGATAAACATGGGCAAGGCTTGCAGGGCGGGTGGGAGGCTGATAGAATTAGATAGGCCCATCTGGCCCTGGCTAACTGTTTTCCTGTCTCCGATGGCTCCATGGCTCCGGGTCTAGAGCTGGAATGGCTGGATGTCGAACACCGCACTGTGGCTGGTGCCATCAGCTCCATCTTCTGGACAGCAGGAGTGCTGCTGCTAGCACTGGTTGGGTACCTGATACGGAGTTGGCGGTGGCTTCTACTGGCTGCCACCCTGCCATGTGTTCCAGGCATCATCAGCATCTGGTGAGAATTGCAAGCAGCTGGGAGTGAAAGATACATACAACCAAGACAAAATTAGCTAGACTAAGGTTCTAAAACAGGCTGGGGAGATGGCTTAACACAAACATGTACACATGCATATACCAAACGCATACACACACACAGAAAGAAACTAAGAGATGCAGAAACGGAGTCCAAGAGACAAAACGATATCAAGAGAAGCCAGAAAAACAGAAATCAATAGAAAGAAGATGGCACAAGACACAGGCATGGTGAGACAGAGACTGAGCCAGAGAGAGGTAGTGATAACAGACCGGAACTGAAAGGCGAATGCCAAGGGTCCGATGGAGACACACAGGCACAGGTAGTAAGAAACAGACAGGAAAGACAGTGAGTGGTCAGAGTCAGACCCAGCCAAATGGAGGCTGGGATTTGCCTTCAAGGGACAAGGATGGGACATGGCCCGCATGGTGGTGGAAACTAAGGCAGGAGAATGGAGGGCCTGGCAAGGTGGGTGCTTTACTGCCTTCTAATGGTGAACTGTGTATCAGTAGTTTCTCCAGCCCTCGTCCTGCACCTTCCTGCCTGAAGTGTTGGCTGGTGTTGGGGGCTAAGGTTTTGAGGGTAAGATAAATTCAGTTGAGTAAGGAAAGGACACCTTGGAAGACTGGGGAGTGGGTTCTAGGCCTAAATAATGAATCAGGGAAGAGGTAGCTTTGTTTTTCAAGACCAGAGTTTCTCTGTGTAGTCCTGTCTTGGAACTCACTTTGTAGATCCGCCTGCCTCTGCCTATGAGTGGTGGGATTAAAAGCATGTGCCACCACCACCCGGCTGCAAGGTAGCTTTTAAATTGGGCCCAAACAGGAATTCATGGGACTGAACAGTAGGAGACCAGGGGCGGGGAAAAGGATTCTGATGTCTTTTCAGGCAGAAGGGGCTGCATGTGTGAGAACCTGGAGTCTATAGCCTGGAAACTCAGGAGGTAGAGGTGGCTTGTAAGGCTGGTTTCTGACTGAAGGGCTCTCTGGCTTCTCCCCTAGGTGGGTACCTGAGTCTGCACGATGGCTTCTAACCCAGGGCCGTGTGAAGGAGGCCCAGACATACTTGTTCCGTTGTGCCAAGCTCAATGGGCAGCCTGTGGGTGAGGACAGCCTGAGCCAGGAGGTAAGGGTGACAATGGGTATGAGTGAGTGCCCAGGGGTGGGTGTCTAAGTGCCCCTTTTCCTGGACCCACCATGTATGACTACAAAAGCCTTTGTCTTCCAGAGGAGAGCACCTAGCTTCAGAATAGCCTGCCTTGCTCTGGGGGGCCATCTCCTTTACTATGGGTCCTCCATGTGTACTCCACATCCCCAATACTGCTGGGGAGAGAGAGACGCAGAGAGCACACAGGCTTCTGAGACAAGCTCTGATGGCACAGCCTTGCTCCCTCTCTCACCAGGTCCTGAACAAAGTGGTCACTGTGGAACGGGTGCTGCAAAGACCCTCATACCTAGACCTGTTCCGAACCCCGCAGCTCCTACGTATCTCACTGTGCTGCATGATGGTGTGGTAAGAGGGGCTGAGCTGGGGCTGGGTGTGAAAAAGGTGAGAGCCAACAGTAACTGGGGAGGGTAGGAAGATCATCCCTGCTCTTGGGGCAGGGAGGGGACTCTGACAGAGGCAGGTCCAGTGGAGTAGGCAGCTCTGGGACTGTGTGACCATTCTGATCCTTGACATCTATTTTTGTGAAATGAACACGTTGCTGTCAGTTCCTGTGTCACAGGGTTGCTACTAAGATTGGGGAAAAGGCATTTTGGCCACTGGTAACCTACTTGGGGATTATGGGTGTCTGGGAGTGAAGGGGGACCTCTAAACTGCCAAGAGGCAGGAGGGTCGGGGCAGGAAAGGGCTCTGGAGGAGCATTGTGATTCTGTTCAGGTTTGGAGTGAACTTTGCCTACTATGGCTTGATCCTGGACGTGTCAGAGCTGGGGCTGAACGTGTACCAGACGCAGCTGCTGTTGGGGGCTATGGAAGTGCCCTCCAAAGTCATGGTCTACTTCCTCGTGCGTCATGTGGGACGCCGCCTCACAGAGGCTGGAACGCTGCTGGGTGCCACTCTGACCTTTGGCATCAGCCTGCTGGTGTCCCCAGGTGAGCTGAGGTCTTGAGGCCTGGCAGTTCGGCCCTGCTCTGGGCAGAGAGTCTGGCTTGCACCCAGGGAGTTCCTAGAATCATTACTCCACTGCGAGAATCCCTTTCCCTCCAGGGACCAAGGAATGGGTCATAGCTCTGTTGTTGTTGGGAAAAGGGTTTTCTGAAGCTGCCTTCACTACAGCCTACCTGTTCACATCTGAGTTGTACCCTACTGTGCTCAGGTAAGTTGTGGCCCCAGGCGACTGACTTGCCTTAACAAGTCACACTGCCCTATTCGTTCTTTAGCTACAGCCAGGTACATCGTGGTTGTTTGCCCAAGTCTTGGAGAGCACAGGGAATTTTATCTTTTGTACTACATAACCTTGGGCCACGTTAACCTTATGGGGCTCCTTTGAAGAAAACAGTTCCAAGAATACCCATTCTACCCACGGTGTTGCAGAGCCCTTGGGGATTGTCTCTGGTTTCTGAGATCTGTGTAAGCTACAGATCTCCCTTCCACACTACCATCTTGTAGCTTCTCGTAGTAGTCCCTGAGCAGCACTCTGTCAGAATGGGGGTTCCATCCTCTGGTGGGTACTGGGTAGGGAGTGAGAAGACAGTATTAGGGGCTGCCAGCCGAGGAGGGGAGTCTTGTGATGCATGGTCCTCTCATCCTCTCTTGAACAGACAGACAGGATTGGGACTCACTGCACTTACTGGCCGGCTAGGGGCCTCTTTAGCCCCACTGGCGGCCTTGCTGGATGGAGTATGGCTGATGCTGCCCAAACTTGCTTATGGGGGAATTGCCCTGCTGGCTGCCTGCACTGCACTCCTGTTGCCCGAGACAAAGGTGGCACAGCTGCCAGAAACCATCCAGGATGTAGAAAGAAAGAGGTATATGTGCACATGTGTTCAAATCATGGGTTCAAATGCCTAAGCCCAACACTTGGGTGCAAAGGGGAAGACAGTTGCACAGCTACATTTGACATCTGTACATGTGTACACAGGTGTTTTGAGGTGTATGCCCTGTGTGTGTAAATTGTATACTTAAAATCATACATAAGTCCATACCTTTATGTATATACTGACATCCATGAAGAGATACACCAGAATATGTCCAGACACATATGGGAATGTGTGTGCTTGTATGCAAGGAGCCCTGAGACAGTCCTTGAAGGTTCCAGGACTAAACCCCATCATGTTCCTCCTTGTCTTGTCCAGGGTTCAGGAAGAAGATCTGCAGGTCCGGAACTGAGTAAGACTAGAGATAGCCCTGCACAGGAGCTCTGCGGGACCAGAAGCAGAAGGCAGGCTCCTGAGACTGGGACATCACAGCCCTGTGCCTAAGGACGAAGTTGCCACTGGTACCTTCTGTATTCTTTCAGTCTCCAGCAACAGGACAGCCTCCCAGAATGCACTGGGCTACTAGAGATTCTGGGCACCCCTCATACCTGGGGGATTCTGTAAATTAAGATGTCTCCTGGGTTAGGGCAGCATTGAGGTTTGAAGAGATTCCCCCATTACCTTGATCTTCAGCTCTGATTCCAGCTTTGCCACTGTTCATCTCCCAAGTGAAAACTGAAACTTCCTAGCAGACAAGACTTTATTGTCACACTCAAACTGAACAAGGTGATTCTAGGAATGTTGCTGAAGGACAGTTCTCTGCTTATCTCTAGTACATCTCTAGTACATGAGACTGATGGGTGTGCTGTCTCTGGTGCAGGGATAGGATCTGCCCAAGGACGGGACCAACAGATGGAGCTGCTTGTGCCCCTGCTCCCCCATCACAGTCTAGGCTTCATACCTACAAAGTTAAAGGTATGAGAGTCAATATTTTATTAGAGAAGCCAGAGAGCTGAGACTCAATAAATGACCTCAATGAGTATACATTGAAACTCCAGCATTGCTGGGAGAAGGAACTGGGAAGCCAGGAGATCACCATTCCAGACAGGAATTGGGAAGCAAAAAATTGGCAGAGCAAGTCCAGACTCAGGTCTACCACAGGGCCTAGGCCCAGACCCCTGGGATTTCACTGTTTTCCTCCAAAAAGGACTAGGGAATTCCAGAGCTTCCAGTGGACCGAAGAGAGGGTGGGAGGCCTGAGTTAGGATGATGAGTCCCGTGAATGGCTCATTTGGATCTTATCTCCACTGGGTCATAGATATAGCAGCCCACATTGCCAATGTTCACACCTGAAGGAGAAAGTCCTGTCACCATGGGCTTTGGTGGAATGAGTGTTGAGGGCTAAAGGGAGAGGGGAGGAGCTTGGGATGTCTGACTACAAAGGAAGTTCTTCACACATTCTCATAGGCCCCAGTGTCTGGGGTCTGGCTGCCCACCTTTGGGGCCAAACAGGTATCCATAACAGGGGATGTGGCAGTAGGGTATGCCATCATGCTGGAAGACAGAAAAAGAATCTCCTCAGCCTGTCTCTTCCTACTGGACTCCTTCCCCCAGTATAACTTCCATTTCTGCCCTGCTCACCTCCGCATGACTCCCAGCAGTCAAGGTCTTCCTACAACGTTGGCACCTCAGGCAGGGTCGGTGCCAATTTCTGCCCAAAGACATCACCTTCTCAGCTGGTGGTGGAGAGAAGTGGCAGCTCTTCCATCCTAGGGACAGGGCAAGGCCAACTCCCTGCCTCAAGTCACTACCCTACCCTCTGCTACCTAAGCAAGCTTTCTGTTGTCACTTACCAAAATAGACAGGATCTCCACATCCAGGGCACAGTGAGGTCTCCCCAGTAAATGTCTTCATGTAGGAAGGGCCTTTAATGGGAAGAGGCCCCAGAGAGGGCTGTGGTGGGGACCAGGCCCTAAGCAGAGCCCTTCAGCCCCAGCCAGTATATGGCACTGTCCACTTTCCAAACCCATTCTTCCCCACCACACCATAACCCAGGCAGCCACGAATCCGCCTTCCTTGAGCTCAGGACTCATTCCACCCTATTGGTCATCTTCATTAGGGATTACCTGTCTTGTCACCCTCCCAGGGCCCCAGGAGCCCACTAGCTCAACGTTTCAGTGCTGGCAGTAACTCAATCAGCAGGAAACCTGAGCTGATACAGGAGTTGCCCAGGGCAGTGGTGTCAGGTGTTGGGGAGCATGGTGTCACTGCCCACTGTGGGAAGTATAAGGAACAGGGATAGAGAAGAATCTGAGGAACTGGCCCATCCTAGTGAGTCCTAACTTTAGGCCTTTCCTTCTACTGCTCCGGCTGGGGAAGGGGCCCAGACTCCAGGTCACCTGTCTTCTCTGGGTGAGAGTGATCATGCTATCATGATCATGCTATCATGCCAGTTCACTTTTTAAAGTCAACTCACATGAGAGAACAGAAAAAAAAAAAACAAAACAGGGCCACTGACAGGACTGCCAAGAGCAGTCACAGGCCTGTGGCACAGAGGGCAGGAGACGCAGAGTCTACTGCAGTCTGAAAGGTCGAGGGAACAGGACAGTTGAAGCCCACCTTCACTTACTTTTCTTGGCCTGGGGGAGGCCAGCCTTTGGCCTTGGGGGGCTAAAGTTCCTGGGGCTGAGGGAAATGCTGCTGGTAGGGGAGGGAGCGTGGGGACTGTTGGGATAGAAACCCACACCACCAATGTTGACCCCTGCAGAGAGAAGACCCAATAAGGGAAATCAGGCTCTAATTGCTAGCCACAGGGAGAGTTCTGAGGCCCCGGCCCCTTCTAGACTGGAACTTACCTCTAGGTCCAAAGAGAGCCCCATAGCAAGGCTTGTGGCAGTATGGCCTCCCGTTGTGCTGGGCACAAGCACAGGCAGAGGAAGGGGTCATTCAGGGCCAAGGGACATGCTCACCGGCCTTTTCATTACTGGCCTCAGGTGCAAATGTGCACTGTAACTACTCTGATGGGTTTGATAGCGATGGGTGAGAGCTAGTATGTCAGATTACCACTGTGGGCTAGGGATTGAGGGTATGGGTGGGAGACAAGAGCAGTCGCTTACCCCTCCCTCAAAGCCATGGACCAACAGCATCACTGAGACTCCCAAATTTTGGCTGGCATGAGGCCCATCAGGTGAATAGCCCCTGACTTTTGTCTGCTGAGGTTACCTTTGGCAGGTTTCCAAGGCTGAAATTGTGGTCTATCAGGGTGGGGGGTGTGATAGAGGGCTGTCACCCTGGTCAGGCCTCACCTCTGCATGCCCGCCAGGGGACAAGATGCTGTGGCAGCGCTCACATTTCAGGCAGAAACGGTGCCAGTTCTTGCCTAAGGAACTCACTTTCTCGGCTGTGGGGAACAAGGTGGATCCGGGCTGTAAGGAGTCCAGCTTAGCTCCAGATGCCCTTCTTTTGCCCTTTCAGCTTTCTAGGGGAACCAGCCCAGCCAGTCTCGCCTTCTGGAGACAATGAATAGTATCTCCAGGAGAAAGTTTCAGCCCACCCTGGTGCCTCTTTCCTTAGGCTCTTGGTGGCAGACAAACACACACACACACACACACACACACACACACACACACACACACACTCACTCACTCAAATGATATAGGGACCCTGGGAGCTCACACTTATCTTTACTCCTTGGTTCTAGCCTCACCGAAGTAAACTGGTTGCTGGCAACGCGGACAAGTCCAGCTCATGGTTCTTCATAGGACAGCCTAGTCCAAACAGCAATTCTAGGCACCGGCAGCTAAGTCCCGCCCCTCTGCCAGCCCCACCCACTGTCCAGCTTTGGTCTCATCGAGTTGGGGCCGCCCATTGGACACCAAAAACTTTGAGCTGAGGGACTGAAGCGATTTATCAATTTATTTTAAAGAACTTCAAAGAATGAGTGGAACCCAGACTTGGGAGAGAAAGAGCCCTGAGTTCAATGGCTCGTTTTCTAGGTCAAAACAAACAAGCAAGCATCAGGCAGGCATTCTAATTCCTCCTTAGTGGAGCAAGGCTGAGAGCAAGGTGATGTGAAGTCCATCAAGTAAATATCTCTCTCTCTCTCTCTCTCTCTCTCTCTATCTCTCTCTCTCTCTCTCTCTCACACACACACACACACACACACACACATACACACGCACACACACCTTCATTTTTTTGTTTGTACAAAGAGTAGCATGGTAGCAGTCTCCATGGCACGGGGTTGTAAGAGATAAATTAATCTCAACAGTGCCTGGCACATGACTGCAATGAAAGCAATATGAAGAGTCCCTTAAACGAATTCATAACCCAGTCTGTAAATTCCAAAATGTGGTCCTGCTTACAATCTATGGCTTATGCATAAGATTATCAGACTTGTTAAATTTAGAAGTTTAAGTTAAACACCAGCCATATATTTCTAACTCCAAGACTTTAAAATGTTGTGTAGTGACCGATCACCATACAAAAATACAATGGTCACACAATTGGCCCTAGTTAAACTAAATGGGTCACAAATAAAACCCCAACCTGAAAACCACGAACCTGGGAAGGGACTAGTAGGAACCAGGGTGGTGAAGGTGGTGAGAGAAGAGATGATAAGGTGTGTGGGATGGCAGTAATCAGAATATATTATACATGTGTATGAAATATTAGATAACTAAATAAATCTAAAAACAAAAAACCCTTAGCAATTACTACCCCAAAAGCCTGACAGAATATATTTAACTTGTAGAACACATCTTAACTTTGTTTGTTTGTTTGTTTTTGTTTTTTTGAGGCACGGTTTCTCTGTGTAACAGCCCTAGCTGTCCTGGAACTAGTTCCTGTAGACCAGGTTGGCCTTAAACTTACAGAGAGCACCTGCCTCTGCCTCCTGAGTGCTGGGATGGATTAAAGGCATGTGCCACCACTGCTGGGCTCTACATCTTAACTTTTAAACCAGATTTTATTATAAATATTAAATTTGTTATCAGTTATACAGCTACTCAGACGAGTCTTTTTTAGATTTTTACTTTAGGTGTTTAGGTGTTTTGCCTGTGTGTACACATATGTGCATGCAGAACCCAGAGATCAGGAGAGAGTAGGACCCCTGGATCTGGAGTTACAGGTGGCTGTGCTCTGCCATGTGGACTCTGAGCAGTGAGTGTTCTTAACTGCTGAGCCATCTCTTTAGCCCCATTCAGATGGGATTTTTTAAAATGACATTTAACAAAGTAAATAGAAACACAGATATAAAAAGATTTTAAAATATGGCAAAAATAGCCCAAGGCTGGGGAGTGGTCTTGCTTAGTGAAGTGCCTACTATTCAATCCTGAGAACCTGAATGTGGATCTCCAGAACCTAGGTTCTGTGGCATATGCCTATAATCTCCACATAGAAGCAGAAACATGGGGATCTCTGAGGCTTGCTGGCTAGTCAATTGAGCATGTGAGCTCTGAGTTTAGTGAGTGATCTTTATTTCTCCCCCCACCCCCGGCCCTTATTTTGTTTTTGTTTTGTTTTTTGTTTTTTAGTTTTTTTAAAGCAGGGTTTCTCTGTGTAGCCCTAGTTTTCTGGAACTAGTTCTTTAGACCAGGCAGGTCTTGAGCTCAGAGATCTCCTGCCTCTGCCTCCTGAGTGCTGGGATTAAAGGGTGCGCCACCACCGCCCGACTATTTGCAACTTTTAAAGATTTATTTATTCATGTATTTTATGTATATGAGTGCTCTGTCTTCATTAATGCACACCAGAAGAAGGAATCTCATCGCATTACATATAGTTATGAACCACCATGTTGTTGCTGGGAATTGAACTCAGGTCCTCTGGAAGAGCAGTCAAGTGCTCTTAACCACTGAGTCATCTCTCCAACCCTATTTGCAACTTTTAAAATTAGAAAATTTAAAACATTTAAAAAGAAATATGTTCACATAAAAACTTACATTTGAATGTTCATACCACAACTGGTAGCAAAAGGGGAAGGTGGGGAAAAAAATCTAAAGTTCATCAACTGATAAGTGGATGAGCAACACTGTAGCACAATTAAT